ATAAACATGTTTTTGATCTTTTGTACTTTCCTCCCAAAGTTTTAAGTCAGTGACATTATTGATGTTCTTCACATTTTTGTAAGGATTGTGCACTCTGAATTATTCAACAGTAATTCCTTAGTTGAGTTCTTTTCAAACACGGTGCCAGGAACATGTACATGTGTGTGCATGTTCTCTTTGAAGAAGCCATGGGAGTCAGTCTGAAGGAGGAAAAGGGTAACAAAATAAGCTTAGAGCATGTTTTCATATAAAACAGAGGGAATACCACAGTCCTCTGGTGGCAAAAAAAAAATAATAAAAAAGAGACAGAAGTTTTTGCAGTCTTGGCCAACTGGTTAGAACTTCCTCTCATTCCATTCCAGCCTTGGTCAACTGGTTAGTACTGGTTGCAGCACCATCAGACCACTTGCTGACATGCCACAACTCCTTAAGATATCAAAAGCTACTCACTTTCTTGCTGAGTTCCATTTCTCCCCTTACAGCGAGATGTGACTAAGCTTAGGAGGGCTACAGTGAGGGCCAGAAGCAGCACATGTTCTGCAGAAGAAATGTGTGTCCAGAAGAGAAGGTGAGAGAGGGAACCTGGCTCTTTTAATATTGGTAAACTATTATGTCAGCTCTTGTCAAACCATACTCTAGGGAAGACATACTCCCTGTCTTTGCCACACAGTCGACAGAGAGACAGGCAGCACCCCCTAGGAATGATTCAGAGCAATAGCCATTACTCCCTCTGAGTCACCATTTGGAGGAGTTGTTTCCCCGTAAATCATGAGGCAGCCTGGAGAGCAGACTTTGTTGCTAGGCAAATTCCGCATTTAGGAAATGTTTCTCAGTCAAACCAGGTGGTCTGCAGCACTTGCCAGATGATTTGCAATGTTACTTTGCAATTACTAGGTATGATTTTATATGAAATTCAACAGGTGATTATGACCCACTAGGAGAACTAAAAGAACAATAGTAGACAGTTCTTCAAGGTGCTGAACGTGTATTACTAACCTGACAGAAGACCATCCACTTTTTCCCATATTGGCCTGTGTTCCTGCTGGTGTAGTAAGTTGAACTGGCTCTCCAAGTATAACCAAGGACAACCAGAGGTGGCAGGAGCAAGCTGAATGGTGAAGGTGGATGAGGGGAGCAGAACTAGAGGTGGCTTGTTAGCAATGAGCTGCTAGATCAGCTCACCTCATCCCATAGGAAATCATGGGATATAAAGGCTTGTCTAACTTTTAAATGAGTGCAAGGTCTAACACTCATTTAAGAGGTGGCCAAACCAGCATGAGGTAACCTGGAACAGCTGCAAGTTCTCCCTTAAACTTCCACAGGGTTATACAGCAAGAAGATGGCAGGCCTGAGAATGCAATCTAAGGGTCCCTCCCATGGGCCTCCCTCTTGACTTCGACTTGCCTCCCTTTTCAACCAGCCTGTGGTTTCTCTAGGGCCTGCCAGGAACCCTTCCAGCTGTGCTAACTCTAGCAGTGATGCTGACATCCATTTGCTAGGAACTGGACTGAGACCAACAGCTCCTTTTGTATCTCCCCACTGTCATTACCACTTCTTCATTATTGACTTGGACAAGATTCAAACCAGTTGCCTATGGGTGAAAGGTTCCTTGTCCCATCATGAATTCCACGCTCCCTCTTTTCCCTAGCTTCCAGCTGTCGTCTCCTGCCCCTTCTTCCCCCCAGTGAGTCTCTGAGGTTCTTGACCATTTTCAGCTGTCCCACAGTTCCAACTCTTTCAGCCTATATCCAGCCTTCTGATCTCCAAAACCTGCTAGTCCTTTTTCCTTCATCCTTCCTGCTTAAATCAGATTCTCTTTGTCCTTGAGCTAGACTGCTCTTGTATTGCTTTTCCTCCAGCTTCAGCATCACTGGCACCAGTCTCAGCTTCTATAAAAAACCAGTCTAGACTTCTCTGTCTCGGTCCCAGGTTCTTCTCTGTCCATGTTTCACCACATGGAGGAGCTGGACTCTCTCGCCCACCCTTTGTCTATGGCCAAGGTGACCCACAAAGACTTGGAACTCTGGTGGGAAATGTTGCACTGCCATTCTAGCACTTTGAGGACCTACAGTTGTTTCTGGTTTTGGTTTATGATCACTGCTGCCTGGTGTCTAAATAAGGGGCAAGAGTCTTCTTATCATGAAAACTGTCTGACTTCACCCCTCACTACTCAGTTCACATGTATTTAGCCAAATAAACACAATATTCTAGCCTACAATGGAGCCATTCCAGCAGTAATTAAATGTATAAATGTTTCAGAAACAAATTCATCACACAAATAAGACTCCATTTGCAACCAAATTATTTAAATGTGTATATTTGCCAAGAACCTTCATTATCGTATGTATTGTATTTTTCATTTAAGAGATAAAATTGGACATTTGGATGTGATTTTTAAGCAAGTACATAGCTGAGTTTAGAAATCAAATCCGAGCCAGGCACATGCTTCTTTTTCTGGACCAGAAAAAAGAGCCATATGGCAAATAGCTGAACTTTAATACATGTGATCTCCAATACCTGAAGGCTCTTACATAGCCACGAGGATTGGTTGGTTATGATCAATGTATTGTCATTGCATGTGACAGCTGCTTCTCAAGCCCTCACTTCTTACTAACTTCTCATTGAGATCCTCTGCTCTGTTCTGGGGTATTGTAGGACTGAAGCAGTCCAGTGAAGCTGAAAAGTACCTGAGTGAGAAGGTTTTCAGGATTGGGAGGGGAAATTCTCAAGCAAACCCATTCACCCCTGCAAACATTTTGTTTTGCAACCATAATTTCACCTTAGAATAACTGCACTAAAACAACACAAATTCTAGGTTTAATTACTCAGTGGTAATTCTCTTTTCTAGCATGTGCTGTAACATTCCTTAAGAACCATGAGTTTATTCCCTTAAAAGAAACTTCAAGTATCAGACACATTGCAAATGTTACAGGAGATGAGATTATCTTCGTAATTTCAAAATGAGAGAAGGTCACCTCCTGGAGCACTTGCTTCACCAGGTTTTGGAAAGTTATCCTCTTTCTAGCAGAACTGGCTCCAGATCAGACCAGACTCCAGTGCCTCTTGGACAGAAGGTTCCCACAAGTTTGTAGATAAGTTATGAGGTCTTTGTGGCATATGAAGGCCAAAACAACAGTGAAGGGACAGTGCACATCCAGCTCCTCCAGGCTACACAAATACCAGCTTGAAAGTTTGGATTTGTTAAGAAAATAATCATAATCATCAGATCAACTGTATATAAGTTACCCCAAACGCACACGTATAACATGGGAAACCTTTTAAAAATTAGTCACAGGTTGTTCTCATTATAAAATTTATTGTATTTTAGACTAGTAATTTATTTCTTTAACTATGTTTCACTTTAATAATATTTAATATTGTAAAGCATGTTCTTTCCAAAACAGAAACTTGTTATATAGATGAGCACACCATGTAGTTATTGGGATAATTATTAGGACAAATATCTTTCAGACAAAATTCTTGCCAAAAACTATGTCTCAAATGTTTCCTTTCAAGCAACTCAAAAAAAAAACAACAAAGCCCAAACTTTTAAAAGCAGTCAAATTACATATTCTTTCATTTAAGTTAGTAATTCTTGCTTAAAAAAAACCCAATATTTTCTCCAATTTTCTAGTGTGGAGAGGGTGTATAGAATTTTATATTTTGGTTTTTTTTAATGCCCATTGCAGAATATAAAGTGCATATTAAAGGTCAACCTTTAAGTCAGAGATAAAAGGAACATAGATGGTGAAACAAATGCATTTTAGCAAGATTAGTAAATCCTAATCTCAAATAGGCTTAAATCATGACTACTCACATATTAAAATCTACACAAATTACATCTGTTTAATCCTTAAGAATTATTATATACTTTAAGCATAGTCCTTAAAAGAGGCCCTATCCTTTTACTTGGTGAAATTTAATGAATCAAAAACTCCTTTTAAAAAAAATCCCTGTATGATGTTGAGGGGGTGAAAGGAAGCAAGTATTGATAAGACTATCTATTTTATGCCAAATAGAAGCATTAGGATTCATCCTTGTAATTACCATATATTTCTTTGGGCACTTCCTGACTGCAGTAACTGATGTTTTTTCCAAAATTAAGTCAGGCCATAGAAAAGTTCATCTGAGACAAACAGAATAATTTCAACACTCTGCATCTCTTTAGGACATATACTAATTTTATAATAAAAGCAAGGCCTTTTGGCTCAGTTTGCATTCACTCCAGCCAGTAAAACTTCCTCTGGCCTCAGTGAGAGCACAATTGGACCCTTCCTACAGCTAAGATGACAAATTATCATTCTGTTAAGCAGCATTCAAAACAGTAATTGAGGTCTTGCTAAACTTGACAGATACCATAAGCAACTCAAAGAAAACAGTTACAGCTGTTACTGTTAAATTAATATGTTAACCACTGTTTTACAAGGGTAAATGGAAGTCTTAATTTTCTCCTTGCTTTTACTACACACACGGTATAATTAAAAACATTTTGCTAAATTTGTACTCATTACATGTTCTTTACTGTAACTCAGTTCAAATTAGTAATGTTATGGTTACATGTTTGTCTAACAAATTACTTGTTTTGGTATTTTAGCAGGAGCAAAACAAACTCAGGAAAGCACGATGCACCTGATCACAGCTGAACCTTCCTCATCTCATGATAAAAATTGCAGTGTCTGAAGCGACAACAACGTAAAGCAGCTAAATCAGCAACAGACACTGCCATGAGCATACAGGACTTAACCCTCAGAAATACCAAATATACAGTCTACAGATTTGAAAACAAATACCATTTGAAGACCAAAAAGCCCTCTTCTGGAAATGTTAACGGATACAGTGGCTGATCCTTTGAGAAACCGGCTTTTCCATCACTTTCAGTGGGATTACTCACGCCACAGGTTTTCAGCCCAGGACCTCAAGTACTCTGATTTCTGGCTGATTAAGTGGCCCGTTTCAGATTTTTCTCACACCAAAGATCATGTGAAAACGCAGGTACTTACACAGCAAAATGATAGATAAAACACTTCCATCCACTGGGCCTCTCCAGGAAGTTGTAGACGTCTCCCTGAGTGCTGGTTTTAGTTAAATAGCGGCCACGGAAACACTCCACGGCCCTGCCGGCCTCGCCTTCCACCAAGGCTGCAGCCTTTGTGCCTTCCTCGGGGTTCTGGGGAATCCTGGATCCGTTATTCATGGAGGTTTCTGGATCCAGCGCCACAGAAGAATACTGCATGCTGCTTAAGTTCCCCCTGGCTTCCAGCAATGCTGCAGATTTCCTATTTCCATTCACGTTGCTCAGCTGAAAAGTGGAGCCTTGTTCCTCTCTGCAGCGGTTATCCATGGGGTACCCAACAGTTTCTCCACTATCACAGGACATCCTGTAACAATGCACAGGTATTACTAACTCTGATCAATATTTAAAATCATGAAGAAGGTATTGTATGTCCTCCCTGTCCAGTGTGTTCTCCAGCAGCCGATGACTTTGTGCTGTTATCACAGAGCTTCGCTGTGACACAAGTGTGAGCTGTCAGCCTGTCACCTGCTGTCACTCACAGCCTCTGAAATTCAATCAGAAAAATGTATCAGACAATGACACGTGCTAGACACCAGATGTAACAAGAGTGTCTGGGAAAGGAAAGCGTCGAGACTTCTGGAGGAAGGAAGAAAGAAAATTAAGGTTCAATGTTACATTAAGAAAGAACATTAAAACTATTTAAATAATGCAACACTCGTAGAGCAGCAGAGCTGTCTTGAGACCTGATCCTGTGAGACCATTTTAAGCGAGTAGTTCTTAAAGTGTCCTGATTAGAGATGGAACTGTGAAAATTTCCTGGAATTCATAAACTTGCTGTTGCCCCAAACACACCCAATTGAGGTTTGAATTTCAACACCTACACTTCAAGAGGTCTTAAGTCTTTAGGACTTGAATAAATTATTTCAGTCACCTAATGGGATCTGATCTTGCAGTCCATGGTACTCTGGAACATTTTTTCTCAAGTGTAAAAAGGATGATGTCATTAATGATAACTGATATCAGTAGGTTATTATTGCTAGAAAGAAAAAGATCAAGGACTCCTGAACCGATTCTCAGTTTTCCTCAAGCCATTTCGTGTTTGCAGCTACTCTTAAACAAGTACTTAGAAAAAACAGAATACACAATAAGGTTTTTCTAGATCAACATATGTTTCATATGGCAGACTTAAATTGCTGCTAATACTCAGCAGAGTATTTAAATTTAATTTAGTATTTTAATTAATTAATTAATAACTTTGTGAGATTGAGAGCAGCTGTCTTTTGTACTGTCTTATTTCTTACATACCACCATGAAAAGTTTCCTCATTTGAAATACCTAGCTAAAATGAAAATATGAAAACATTATGAAAAGCTGAGAATATTAAAAGTATCATGAGAGGTGACTTTAACTTCAATGCATTGATAATGTTAATGTCAAAATTACGTCTGTAATGTCACATTATAATGTACTGTGTTATCTGCAATATAAATCCCACACATTAAGGTGTTGCAGCAGACTGCTCCTCCGTCAGAAGACACTCATATCCACATTTTGAGTTACTTTAGCTTCAGCAAAATAGGGTATTTTGGAGAGAGAATTTCAGCCTTCATTCCCTCTTTTTAAACGAAGCTTATTTTTGGTTGTTGCTTAAAGATCTTCATGTGTATTGCATGAACTATCATCTGAACAGAGCCCTCCAAGTTACTCCACAAAATATTTACATCTATGCATTCTAACATGATTTGTTACACTGTGCTCATTTCTTAACACTGGTCATGGAAAGGCAAATATCAGTTCACATTTCTACAACAGTCCTACAGCAGATAGAGAAATACATCCGTTCCCTCATCAGTTTTCTTAAACAAAAGATGGAGGAACCAAACATTAAAATTAAAACACAAAACCCTTCATCCAAGTCAACCTACAACAGGTACATAAGAAGTACCAATGAGAAGTACGTTCATCACTTTAGGATGCTGAGGCTGCCCAGACAAGTGCTTGTAGCAAAGGCTGGCTACCCAGCAGTGGCAAACAAAGCTACCTGATACACCTTTGCTGGCTCATCAAAACAAGGGATCCCACAGACACACAGCACAGAAACCAGCTGTCAAATAGCACCTACTTTCGCCTGTTGCGTGTCCTATTCCTTCTCTTGGCTGCTGCCTCAGCTCCATACAGCAGATTCCCTGGATAGGTGCAGGGAGAAGGAGTTGCCTGGCCCTGCCCCCAGCTTATCAAGTCCCACCCTAAGGAAGGCAGAGTCCCTCCCTTTTGGCTGCCTTATATGGCTGCCCTTGCAAAAGGCAGAGAAAGAACCAGGGAACGGCTTGGACGACTTCAGAGAGAAGCTACTTCTGCCTCTTCCTGTTGTCAAACCCAGCAATCATAAGCAGCAGCTTAATTTTGCTGAGGATCGCGGTCCTTTCTCTCCCAGGCCTTTTCTTATCTGCATACACTTAATTGCAATGGGTTAAAAGCAGCATTTCCTTTATTGCACATCTTTAAACCCTGAATGAGGTGTTACTTGTAGCTGCAGCAGACTTTTACATTGAGTAAGTCTAAACAGGCAGCTTCAGTTGTTTGGGTTTTTTTCCATCAAAGTTTTGGCAAAGCCAAAAGCAGCACTTCATTGTTACATTAAGTAATGGAAAATCAGAGTTCTCAAATGTTGTTGCCTTTCTGAACTACAGCTCATCTTTTTTATTAATTTGGGAGGAAGAGAATCCCAAACATAACCATTCCAGCATCAAACTCCTCATTTTATTGTTGAACTTTCTATTCAGGAATGAGAAAGTGAATACTGCTATTTGTCTCTTTTTCTCCCTTTTGTAACAGAAAGCAGACTACTGTCTTCAATGCCAGCATAAGCTGCTTCCCACTTTTCCAGAGCCACATGGCCAAGAATGGAACAAAGGTAACCATTTCACCTTATGGTATCATCAGTGGGGGAATGTTGCCATTGCACTGTCTTCGACTTTTGTCATAATTGTTCATGGGGCTCTTTCTTTGGAAAGATTACTCCAGAAAGTTACTTTCTTGGTTTCCCAGTTATATTTCCATACCACTGGAAACAAAACAACCAAAAACAAAACAAAACCTCTTAGTTCCTTTCTTCTTTTTTTTTTTTTTTTAAATACACAGTCTGATTTTACTTCTCTAAAAATCAACCCCTCCAGAACATTTTCCTTGTACTGCAGGTGAGCAGACATCAAGAACTGAAAGATGATTGGAGCCATACAAATCATCCTCCAGGCTTTTTGCTCATGCTTCTTCCTTTAAATTCTTTCAGTATCAATTACTGCATTTCTACTCTCTGCTCTGTTAACTTTTCCTGAATATAATTATTCAAGCTCTACAAAAGTAGCTTTAAAAAATCCAACCTACAAAACAAAACAAAATACCCCAATGAAACACTAATTATCTTGGATATTTTAAAGTTAAAAATAAGTTTCCTCTGAGGGAAAAGTAGTACCCAACTTTACTGCAAATGTAGAAACTCAACATAATAGCAGCAGGTCTGAAACCATGGCATAATTAGAAACTAGAGCACCTGTCTCCTATTTCTTGATCGAGGAAAAGATGATTTAGTTAAAATTTTATTAGACTAAACTGTAGAAGACATGAACTCACTCCTTCACATATCCCTCAAATGTAGCAGCACATCACATCTTTGGGTCAAAAATCTCAAAAGGCAGTTAGTCACCTAACTAATTTATTACTTATGTGAAATGCATGATTTCAGGAATGTCTAAATGTTGACGTTTTCATTGGTAACGTTATATTATATATAACACCCTGCAACTGCATATATACAAATGTGTGGCTTTTATGGCTGGGCTTACTCCGTGTGTTTAATTTTCATGGGTCTGGTGGCGCCCACGTGCTCAGAGAGCCCATCTCCCTCACCCTGACAGCACTGCATTTAGCACTAGGCACAGCAAACTTGGTAATTTATCACCAAAAGGCCGGGATGGGCAGGGAAAGGGAAGGGAAATGTCTGGCTTTGAGATGCATATTTGGATCCCTTCTTGATGAGAAGACACTTCTCAGGAAAGTAACCTAAACACAGCACCACTGACATCATCCATCGCTGTACCCTCTGGGGGTCGTATTTTAGAAGAAAAGTGTGAATGAGTCATGCTAGAAACATAAAGGGATAACATGGAACCCAAATCCTAGAAAATATTTTGAAGGGTAAATAATAGATGAAACTTGCAAAACATTCCCGCGCTCCTCTGTTCCTTTCGAATTCCATTCTCAGGACGTAAGCTTTCTGCATACTGCGCTCTGGAGCATCCGCTTTGGGTTTGTGAACTGCACTTCCAGGACTGGATACCTAGAAGCTGGACACAGCTGAGTTCACTGCTGAGTAGCTGTAGAATGTTTTCCCAGCAGTGATCATGTAAGAGCATGTATTCAGCTTGTTGTACCCAGGCTGCCTTTAAGGGGCAAAATGCCAATCTTTGCTTTCTGCTTTAGCTTCCCAGCCTGGTGGGCAAATGGTCTTACAAGTAAACCAAAGCTTATTCTGCATAACTAGGGATCCTGAAATGAGGTATAGGCTTGAGCTTCAAGGTCACATTACAGTACTCCCTGTACTTTTCATTTTTGAACTGTAGGTTGAAAAGTGGGGCAATATGTGTCTTGCAAATATGTCAGGCAGTTGTCTGTAGAGCCCTTTTCTTTGGTTAGTCCTGGTAAAAGAAGGGAACTCATGATTTCAAAATGGTTCTTCAGATTAGGTTGCTTGTGAAACTGGGTCAGCATCTGGAGTAACACTTGTGAGCTCCTGTCCTTACTTTCATTTACTCTCAAATCAGTGATTTACATCACTAAAGAGCTATGGGCTAGTGTGTCCTTCCACAAGGTGGGTGTATCTGTGGAATGTTGAATGGGAAGCATCTCTGATACAAAAAAATGTGTGTGTGAAGAAGGTATAGAGACACCATGGAACGGCATTGTGAGGAAAAGAGGACACTGCTCCCAAGCATTGGCTGTGTATAATTCTTAAATGTTTTGTGTGATTCACTATTGCTAAGTTTGCTAGCATTTATCAATATTAAAAACTATAATGGAAATTCTGAAAACTTGTTCTTTAAATTGCTGCTCCGTGATGCTCCTTCAAGGCTATATGTGAAATCAGCACTTAGTTGGAGAGGTCGATGGACATAAGCCATTCAGATCAGGTGGGACCCCCCATCTCTTCAGGCCGTATCAGACAGTTTGTCACCTGCCCCCCACAATCTGCCACAACAGGCAGCTGCCTTTTCCACTTGCCTTTCAACCACATTTAGCAACAATAAATCCATCCAAAGGCCAGCTGGGGCACGTGGGATAGCACTGCACAATGCCTTACAAGGTCTCTGCCCAGGAAGAACAGGTACAAACAGTC